CCTCAGTCCGCCTATCTCCTACGCTGCCCACCTTTAGGTGATCCTTAAAAACCCATCTCTTCAGAGAAGCCTACCTCATGTCAACATAACTGTCTTTTACTTCCTCCAATAACTCAATCTAAACAATTATTATTTCTTGTATCACTTGTCCCTCCTGCTAGATTGTAAGCTCTCACGAGCAGGGCCCTCCTAACCCTATTGTACTGAAATTGTATTGTATTGTAACTGTACTGTCTCCACTATTTTGTAAAGTGCTGCGCAAATTGTTGGCGCTATACAAATCCTGTATAATAATAATAATTATAATAATGGAAACTTGTCTGTAAAACCCATTTACACAATTTCCTAGAATAAGCAGGATACAGTAGCCAATTTCAGTAGGCTCAATTATATTAGATGCCACCATTAATAAAATGCCCAGCATTGGAACACTGTACACGGAGACCACAATATTAAGCTGTCTTGACATTGCTAGAAGTGAAGATCCAAAATAATCAAGAAGGCCTATAAAAATTGGGTCACGTTGTCTGGTTAAAAGTTTTTGGTCTTTCAGATCATAGCTACAGTATGTGTAATGTTGTATTTATTTTTGGCCACAGTTGAACTTGGCTCTTCACAACCACATTATTTCACCAAAGAACCAGATCTATGCCACTGCTGTATAGTTTGGCAAACCAACAATCAAGCGAAGAGAAAATCATTAAAAGCAGAGACAACGTGCAAGCATGCCTCTGCTAAACTCTACTTGTCCAGACATCTCAATCAGTAAAATACTGAAAGAGAATGCTTAGCTGATGAATAGTATCATAGAGTTTCATTCAGGTAATTTGTACTGATACTGTACAGATCCAACCAAATGACAAAAGAGCTAAAAAAAAAAAGCCTAACAAAAATAAATTATAACAAGTCCAAAACCACTTCACCGCAGACCATAAGCCAGGCACACAAGCCAAGACAATGATAGTATCTAAGAACAGGCTAGGCTGTTTAGGGAGGAGGAGGTCAATTCCTTCTGATTCACGATGGTCTGGAAGAACGCACAATCCGTTGCAGGGAGATGTTGGGATGGCGGCGGAGGGGGATTGCACTTCTGAAAACTTCCAGATGTATTTTGGTTTAATGTTGTGGATCAGAGTTTGACAGAAGCATTGAGATCAACATGTTCCAAAGAACCATAACCTTTTGGACTACAGGAATGTGAAAGTGACGCAACACAGTTCTCTGAAAGTAACACATTTGCCTTGAACTGCCACGCTAAGTTGTGATGCTTGGCGTAAACTGCTACGCTGTCTCTAAAACCATCAAGCTAGATCACAGTCTGTGGCCTGTTCTTGGTCATTTAGCACAGAGGATGGAAGTTAAACGTTTGCATTGTTGAATCAGCTTTAATAGGAATGTAGACAAACCCCTAAAATGTCCTGATCCTGGATTCCCAGAAGAGGTGGGTCTTAGGAAAACATGGGTATGGTACGTGTTTGCATGGAGTCTAGGTTGGAGTGTTTGATTACATGGAGGGTTGTTCTCCTCAGCAGTTCTCTAGTTGAAGGTGGTTAGCAGCAGTTGCAGTGTTAAGTGCTGCAGTGTTGCCTTCTATGCAGTCTTTACCAGGGCTGGTCAAATAGGTGCTAGAATTACCTGTAATGCCAGCTGCAAGTGCCCATTTTGAATTCAATTGGTTAACTTCTTCTCTTGAAGGTTCACATTCAAGCCAACTATACTAAATGTACAAGCACTGAGTCCCTGAAATGATGGTTACAGCAATCTCTATGCCCCTAAATTCCAGGCCCAGTCTGTACAATGTGTCCCAACAATCAACTGTTCAGTGTCAGAACTTTTACTGGCCTTTGGGTTTTTGTTATTGAACTTTTGAATGTCGGGTACAGAGCTAGTTACCATGCATGTGTTCAGGCTGATGTAGACTAAAGTCAATGCACTCTGTTCAGCCTCTGTTCTACAGGGACACACAGGTTGCTTCTGAAGCTTCAGGGTACGTTCACACCAGGCTGCGGTCCGGTGCGATCAAAATGCTGTAAGCACTATTTTGATCGCACCGGACCGCAGGCACAATGTGCCTTGCGATCCCGTGCGGGTGATCGCATTGCGGTTGGAGGGTGTGGCTACGGTGCCATTCACATCAATGGCCCGCCACGCCCCCTCCTGCCCCACAAAAAAGTGAGGCGGCCGCAATGCGATGCAGTGCGTTCCGGCCAGAATCGGACCGGAACGCACTGCATCTGGTGTGAACGTACCCTTCAACTGAAGTATATCTCAATCTAAATTTTTAAGATTTAACTCTTGAGTAGTGTGTAGTAAAGGAGAATTATAGGGCGAGTGAAAAACACTCATACCCATAATTCAAGTCAACCTGTGACACTGAAGCTGTCACAGATCGGCTCTATTGATCGGGAAGTCAGCGAACACATACTGCCGATCGCTGACTTCCCGATCCTCTCCGCGCAGAGAGCGGTGACTGTCAGTTACCACTCCCCGCAGAGACTGTCCCCCCTCCCCTCTCCATTTCTTCAGTGCTGACTGGAGGAACAGACGGGGAAGGGTACGAGCATAGCTTGCTCTGCTTCTAGATAGGAAGAGCCAGCTGTCAATCAGCCAGCAGGGTGGATCTCGACAGTATTGTTGGGATCCATTCCGGCTGTGGCACACCCCTGCGCTCTCAGCATATAGCAGGCAATAGCCCGCTATATATGGAGTTTTGGGTTACAGGAGGACATTAGTACTGTATATGTCCTCCTGTGACCCTGAAGAGAACTAGGACCACAAAGGGTTAGGTCATAGTTCTCTTTTAAGTTTGATCAGATTTGTTAAATTAAGATCAGGGAAACAATACTAAACCACATACGTACAGGGCTAAGATACACTTAAACCAACACTGTATCCCTGCCTGTGAGCAAGTTTTCATCATAGAACATGAATATATGCTATGCACTTGCGTAATCTCACAGTATCATCACAAGCCTGTGTACCCGACAAGCCTTTGCCCCTTATGGGACTGGCTATTTTGGGCCCCCTCTTTTTTAGTATTGGATAAAGTGCAAATGATACTTAAAAAGGTGTAGTGTGCATAGGTACTATAAAAAATATAAAATATAAAAATATTTTAAAAAAGAGCTATTGAGGATTTTGCATTGTTTTAAATTAAGGGCTCATTCACATATATGATTAGTGCCAGACAGCAGATTCATGTGGTAAGAACCTGCGGATTCCTGCGGCTGGGATCACAGGTGCATGTAAGTGTAGGGAAGCCTGTCTGCAACTGTTCCCATGTATTTGCACATCCAGCACTTATCTGTGGTAAGGGGCACATGACCAGCCCTGGACGCAGACAGATTTAAAAATATAAAATTTAGAGAAACTAAAAGCCCAACACAGTTGACATTACTATTTTTCAATCAGCATTTACACACACCAAAAGGTTCTATTGTATTTTCTTATATTATTTTTCAAATGATCAAATGCAATAAACTTCACATTTAAATCCCACATCCCATATTCATGTTCACCTCTGTCCATGTTCTGACTGCTCTGCGTAAAACTCAGCTTCCATCATTGTTGCAACAGAGCTTTCTGTAATGCTTAGGGATTGTCCTATATTTCCGTTGTGTTTTCACACATCCAAACATTTCTTACAGGTAGAAGACAGAAATTCAGCAATGAAAATAAAATACACAGTTCAGCCTAGGTGATATTGAAGCCTTTGTTAAAAAAAAAAAAAAGTTGTAAGACAATATAAACCAATAAATTACAGATGCAATTAGATGGAATAACATTTTTACGTAAGTTCTATGAGCCAGCTGTGAATGTTTTGAATGAGAATGCAACCAGTTAAACCTCCAGTTACCATCCTTTAAAAACCATCCTCAAATTCATAGTCAGTTCTAGATGGGTACCAAAAGTTGAACCAACCGCAAATTTACTGTGCCTCTCAGCAAACATGGTGGAGAGATCTTATGACTGTTGGGCATTCAAGTATTTAAATGTTCTTAACAAGCCGTAAATAACTTTTAAAACAACCCCTCACTGACCTCCGTAGCTGCAGGCACTGTACAGCAACTTATCCTTAAAGATGACAGCAGAACCACTGAAGTGGCTCCCTCAGCTTCCCACCCAGCAGTGACTCAGGAATTCAGCTCAACCAGCTTCCTCTCCCTGCAGCGAAATGCAAGGAGCAAGGTGACCTGTGCTGCTGAAGGAAGGCTTTGAAGGAACTTTGAACTTCCATTGTGCCCAAAAAGCCTCTACACCCTGGGTGCTCTAAATGCAAATACTGACTTCTACAAGGAAGTCAGTGCTTGGCCCCTCATCCTCTCCCATATCCTGAATAGGTCATCAGTTTGATGGGAATCGTCACTGACCAATCCTAGTTGAAGCTGATGTTTGCATATTAGATCACCCCAGGCTTAGGGGCTCCTGGTTCTCTTTAAGAAAACTGATGTTCTAGACATCTGGAGGTGCTTGCTATTGTTACCCAATGACAGATGAAAAGTTTTTTTCCCACCACAGATACACTTTAATACAAGTTGATTACAGTGTGGGCACATAGGATCTTTGTCCTACTTATCTTAAATGTATCATGCAAATATGCACTAGAGCTCCAAAGATTTTCTTTCTCTCTCACCACTGACTTGTCATTCAACAATGGGCTGAGCAAGGTACTTGGACTCCTTAGCTTCTTCCAACTGTCTTTAGAAATCATTACAATTTAGGATGAATTGCTTCATAGTACCTGCAGCTACAGCGTTCAGTGAGGGATTGTTTTAGAGCATCATTTGCTGCTTGTAAAGAATATATAAAGAAAGAAATGCCCATAGCCTGGCCACATGATCACAATTTAACTGAGATGTGATGCTCTCCCTGTTCTATCCTTTATTTATTCTTATGAAGATTCCAGTAGAAGAAGCACAGCACAATTTTTTGTAAAGCAGAATATGAATTCTTAAAACCGCCTCAAGAAGTGAAGCCAGGATTTTCTAATGGTATGGCTGAGAGTTAAAGAAAGCCGCTTCATGATCCAACAGAGCGGTTTGCCCTTAAAACTGATATATCAGTTCTTGGCGGACCTATCCTTTAAAATATGCTCCTGTACAAATGAGAAGCAAAATAATAATACAAATAATAATAACATTAATAACAAATAAATTCAAAAGTCAAAAATAGATACTCTTTACATTATCAGTGCATTGTTTTATACATTGAGAGACATTATAAAATTATTTTCATCCTGTCGCATGATTGGTTAATGGTGGTTTGTTTTGTCTGTTCGGAGGTTCTTGGATACAGTTCTTTGTTTGTAGTCCTCTCCTGAGCCAAAGTCCATTGTGTCGTGATGGTTGGAAAACTCCTGAGGTATAGGAAATTCTTCTGCAGAGGAATGTGTACGGCGCCCAAAGACTTTGTCCTGCAGCTCCGCTATATCATTCCGTATGTCGGCCATCATGAGTAACAAGAAGTCAAAGGATCCTGGTGGCCCCTGATGATAAAAATCACTCCCGATTAATATTACACAGTTAGAATAGTTCAACATTCTATGGTTCTAATAATATTATTGAATGATATGTCCACCTAAAACTGAAATTGCAGTAAAGAGGCAGACGCCAAAGTTTTTCAGCATTTGTAGATGCTCATTTTCCTATGCAATAGAAGTGCTGGTTGCGCCATTTCACCAGTGGTCGGAAACTGGAGCATTTTATGGATTGTTTTTAATGAAAACTTTAGGGAACCTGCAGCAGGATAAAAATCTAATGTACCATTCCAGGTCCCTGCACGTAGTATTAGTTTTCTTTTAGCACGCCCCAGAAGCCTCTAAACCTTTGGTTCTCAACTGGTTCTCAAAAGTGGGTCGCGACCCCATTTCCTGTGAGTCAGGAAATGCCTTCCACTTTTCTAGGTGAGAGGTTTCTTAGCCTCCCTCTAGAGAAGCACTGTCAATTCTCACATCGAGCAGCCATTCAAAAATATGATGCCTGGTGCCGAGTGTCGACTTGAGGTGGGGTTGAGTGAGGCGAGGTGGGGTTGGGTGAGGTGGGGTGGGCTGGAGCTATGGCCGCGAGGGAGCTTCATCCATACGTGCATTGCTTACAGCTCATCACATTCTGGCTCCAAGCACCTCTACGGGCATGCAGGGGAGCTTTACAAGCAATACACATATGGATGGAGCTCCATCACAGCACAGCAGCCCACACTGGACCCCAAGTTGACGATCCACTCCAGTTTCCGAAATGGCAACCCAAACGCACCTCCCACCCACATTTCGATCACCTGCACCGGAAAGCGCAGTACAGCAACATGGAACATTGCAGTGCAACTTGGGTTGCGACTTAATGACCAAGGATGTGGGATTGTTTTAAAAACACAGTACATACTGCTACTTCAAAGTGTATACCTTTAGGGAGCAAAAATAAAAAATATGGGTCCCGAGGTTACACAGGTTGAGAATCACTGCTCTAAACCCTTGGTGCTCAAAAATGCAAATACTAACTTCTACAAGGAAGTTAGTGCTTGACCCCTCATCTTCCCACATATCCTGACTGGGCCATCAATAGGGATCCTCACTGGCCAATCCTAGTTGAAGCTGGTGTTTGCATATTAGAACACCCCAGGTTTAGGAATTCCTGGTTCTCTTTAAGAAAACTGATGCTCTAGGCATCAAGAGGGCCTTGCTAATGGTACCCAATGACAGCTCAAAAGTTTTATTGCTCTACAAATATATATCAATACAAGTGTATTACAGTGTGGGCTCATGAGATATGAGTCCTGCTTATCTAATATTTATCATACATTCACTAGAGCTCCCAAATCTTTCTCTTTCTTCCACCTCTGTCATTACCTTTATTCAACAATGGGCTGAACCAGGTAGTTGGACTCTAGGTTCTTCCCCAAACTTTCAATAGGAATCAGATAAATATATGTGGATGGGAGGAAAGTGTGTGCATGGATAGTCACTATCCCACAACCAAGAGCTTCCAAGTGGAATACAAATGATGAATCTTGGAATCCTTTTTTTCACAGAAGGCCAAACTTTATAGAAATAACACAAACAATCAGAGAACACATATACACTATATAGCCACATGTTTGTGGACACCTGACCATCACACCTACCTGTATGGCCAAAAGTATACAGATGCCACTTTAAGTTATTGAGCACTGTTAATGCTACAACTAACAAAAACATTATAGACAACTGTGCACCTACAACCTTGTGGCAACAATTTGAGGAAGGCCATTTTCCGTTCTAGCATGACTATACCCCTGTGCACAAAGATAGCTACAAAAAGACATATCTTTATGAGTTTGTTGTGGTGCAACTAGAATGACCTGCACAGAGCTCTGACCTCAACCCTGCTAAAGACCTTTGGGATTAACTGGAACACTGACTGCAAGACAGCTCTTCTTGTCCAACATCAGTACCTGACCCACAAATGATCTTTTGGCTTAATGGGTGCAAATTCCCACAAACACTCAGAATTCTTGTGGAAGGCATTCCCAGAAAAGGTGAGGCTGTGATAAGGTGGGGGGAACAACTCCATATTAATACTCATTGTTTTGTAATAGGTTGCCCAACACACTCATATTGGTATGATGATCAGGTGTCCACAAACTTGAGGCCATATAGTGCATATGTTACCTGTGAGGACAAAATTAAATATGTGAAAGGTCTAGAATGGTTGTTTCTCATGGTGACAATAGTTTAAATGAGAGTTACTGAACAAATGGTGAACACTGAAATACCCAGACTTCAAAGGCTACCCTGTGCCCCTCTCAGATTGTGAAGTCCAAACTGAGCATACCAGATAAATTATTATTCCTCTAGTGAAGGTGAAGCTTTAGTCACATAATTACATGTTTTCTCTCCTCCTGGTGAAAAAAACCATGTTTACAGAGTTCAATAGGTCAAGCTGAAATCTACACACACAAGTAAATGGGTCAGAATAATGACTCATCCTTTATCGAATGGCTGAGTCCAATAGCATAGTAAGAGACAGCAAATGTGAAAGGGACAGACACACACACACACACACACACAATTTAGATATTCTTTTCACCTTGAAAGTAAAAATGTGAAAGAAATAATAATTCAGGAACATTGAAAGCAGCAAATACATTTTCTCAGCACTATAAGGACCGTCAGACATTGTTTGTTGATTCAGCCGATATAAATACATTTTAGATTATTATTAGGGAATAAGGTATAAGCTGTGTTTGCTGCTATGAATGGTATCTGTGTTCAGCTTGTCCTTGTATTTGTTATTGCAGACAGTAATTTGTTAATGGAAAACATGCTGCATTTGAACAGAACGTTTATTGGGTGTTTTGGAATAACATCGTAAAATTGGGAGATATATGGGAGAGTGCATTTAAGAGAATGTATCAGATTGGACAAATAAAACCAAAAGGTGAAATCAATTGGAAACCAAAAGGTCAGTCATAAACATAAAGCAACAGAATAATGAGATGTTTTTCGATCTGTTTTATTTCAGAACTTGAAGTGAACCTGTACTAAGTTGGGACGGCCTAGGAGCAGACATCACAACTGCTTGCCATAAACAGAAAAGCCTCTTCTGTGCCAGTCTCTGATTAAGTTTTAACATTGTTACGAGGACCTGGCATTCCCTGCCTTCATAGCTAAGCTGTATCACCTGCCATCACCCTGTCCTATGGGAATAGCCTTCCTGGCCACTATGGCAGTCTCAATGGGTAATGAAATTGGCGCTCTGTTGAATCATCGATTAACCATTTAAGAAAGATATCCAAGTCCCAGAACAAAATCTAAAGCTAAAGCAGAGAGGCACACAGGAGTTTTTTTTTATGACTTATCAAAGTATAAGTAGGCTATTTCTGGTGTCTGCTCCTAGGCAGAACTCATACTTTTAAACTTTAAAACTTGGACTTAGCAACCACTGTCAGGTTTCTATTGTTTTCTGTGTCCTTGTGTTTTCAGTTGTTACTAGAAAAAGAACAGAGAAGGGTTTTTTGGGAAAGGTTTCCTCTTACTTCCTGTTCTGTTTCTTTTACAGGATGTTATGGGATATATACTAATTGGAGACAGACAGCAGAAACAAAAACATTGACAGATGTTTTAATTAGAGGTGCAGCTAAATGGAAATTTTAAAACCGAAATAAAAAAAAATTGTCAGGCCGAAACCAATTTATTTTAATTTTTTCAAACAAAATTTCCATTTCGGTGCACCTCTAGTCTAAACAGACCCCTGATATTTCCCTTTTAAAATAGAAAAAGAGATTGGGAACACAGAGTCCTCCATCTCTTTTTCTGTGTCTCCTGTTATCAATGAACAGGAATCCTCTATACTGAGTGTTCCTGTTCAGTGATAACATAGTATGTTTACTATAACTACAACTATGAAAGAACAGGAGGTGATGTAGATCACTCCTATTCATTCATAATTGAGGATATAGTCCACATACCATGTCCTCAATTATGTACAAATACTCAGCGATCACTGATCACTGAGTGCTTGTACCTCGCTCTCCTCTCTGACACTCTGTCACAGAAGGCTGATCGAGCGGTGAAGGGAGGAGAGCTCAGCCTCCTGTGACAGCATGGCCTGTCTCCGCCCACACACCGCTCTGCCGGACTGTGATAGGAGGCTGAGCGGTGAGGGAGGAGAGGCCGGCCGCTCACAGCGCTCTCCTCTCGCAGCGCTCGGCAGGCTGTCACTTTCTCTCCTCCCCGCTGGGACACAGAGCAGCGCCCAGCGGGGAGGAAAGAAAGCAGGGATGCGCAGATGTATCGGCAGGAAAGTGCCACTTTCGGCATTTAGCCAAAAGTGCCATTTTCGGACGATATGTTTCGCAGCCGATATATCGGTGCATCCCAAGTTTGAACCATTTCCTTCTATTCAAAACTAAATAATATGTTTTGGCTTTAGGTATTTCTTATAAACATGGGCAATTCAAACTGAGCACACAAATAAATAAAAAAAGCAACAAAAAAAAAATCCAATAAACATGATAAACAAATAAGCCAAGGATATGCTCAATGAAATCCACATTTCAAAACAATCAGTAGATCCAGGTATATATAGTTATATACAATGATCATCCATAACATTACGACCATTGACAGGTGAAATGAATAACATTATGTCTTTACAATACCATCTGGAAGTGGGGGGGCTATATTAGACAGCAAGTGAACATTTTGTCCCTGAAGTTGATGTGTTGGAGGTACAAAAAATGGGCATGAGAGACTATGACGAGGGCCAAATTGTAAAGGCCTGACAAATAGGTTATAGCAACTCCAACACTGCAGCTCCTGTGGGATGTTCCCGGTCTGCAGTGGTCAGGACCTACCAAAAGTGTTCCAAGGAAGGGAAACTGGTAAACCGGCAACAGGGTTATGGGTGGCCATGGCTCATTGATGCACGTGGTGAGTGAAGGCTGGCCCGTGTAGTCCGATTGAATAGAAGAGTTACTGTACCTCAAACTGCTGAAAAAGTTGATGTATATACTGTATATATAATTACATATGTGCTGTGTAAACTAAGCCAGGTCCTGCTTCCTCCCACCTACCTGAGGTTCAGTATTGGTAATTGAGGCCTTCCATCACACTGAAGGACCAATAGAGAGGTTCAGAAGTTGGTGGACCAAGCTTATCTTTTATAGGAGTTGATATTTCCATGTAACGTTGGCTGTCCATAACCCATATCTCCGGATTAACCAATTGGTTTGACCTTGAGTTTTCGAGACTCTATTTATTAACTATTTTATGTGTTCAGCTTGAATCACTCGTGTTTGGCATAGGTTTACTATAACTTTATGTGGGAAGGGGTGGGGAGTCTCAAAAGAAGAGGGAGCATAATAGGTTCGAAGAAAGAGTAGTGTCTAAGTTGGGACCTGAGTCATCCCTTCTGGTGCCTCGCTTGGCCTTCCAGTTTATAACCTATGAACTCCTGTGCTCATTTAACAAGACAAGCAAATCTATTTACAGTAAAATAACCTAGAGTGACCAATAATATTTCAACTGGTGTTAGTTTAGAGCAATCAGAACCAGGGACGTCCCGAGTCTGGGTGACAGTCGGAGCGGTAACTGAGTGTCACCCCGCCGAGACGTCACCATGCGCGATGACGTCATCGCGCACGCGCGGCAGTATTCTGATACCTGCCGGCGGCCATCTTGGTGATGGGCGCCGGCAGAGAGAGGAGGGGACAGTCGCCCGGCGGGATAAGATATGCCGCCGGGTTCCCTCTTCTCTCCTGATACTGTCGGGCGTTCAGTACATGACCAAGCGCCCGACTTTTCAGAGGGGGGTGACACCAAAATGACTGTAAGTCTTTGTGGTGTCAACCCTCCAATGGTGTCACCTGGGTGCGGGCCGCACCCCCCTTGTGACGCCACTGATCAGAACAATACATTCTGCTTGATTGCTATGAACTTACGCACAAGGCACATAACATTCACTTAATACCTTTGAAGGAATCTGTCATAGGAGAAGTATGTAGGCTATCACTGTTGACCCCTCCTAAAAAGCAAGCCAACTAACTGTTATGTTGATCCAATGGCTTCAGGGCTTTATTAGTAAATAAAACAGAAAAGCATGCAGATCAAGAGTTCTGGCTTTACTTGCTACATATTTGTTTCAGGTCAGTGACTGGGAAAGTACTGAAATCAAAGACAATCAGACAACTAGCATTTTCAGGAGAAGCTCAGCAGTGGTTGCCTATATGCATCTCTCATCTGCAAATACAGGAATCTCACCGGAAGTCCTCTTGGTCCTGGAGCTCCTCTTTCACCCTAAAACAAATAAGCAAAATATATATTTAATCCTATTGTTACACCTCAAAAATCTGCAGTGCAGAGTACAGTGATGACTAAAAGAGCACAGCGACCATCAGATTTCCACCACATTATACCTTACAGTTCCATATCGTTAAAAAAAAAAAACGAACTCTAGATTTGGCTGTGCTCTCTCTTTAGAAAACGCTAAATGCTTTGTGAAAACAGTAGTGAGTGCACCCTGTATAAATATATCATTGTAAAATAAATTAGGCCCATCAGGGTGAATTGTGTCAAGGGTGGGCGGCTGCCAGGCAGGGACAACAGCATGTTGGCTACTCGTCTTGATTAAAGTATCTCTATGGTGACGACAGTGTTGTATGGCACTTTCTTCTGGACAGTGTAAAATAAAGATTTAATGTACAAAGCACAAAAAATATATAAAACTTGAGTTAAGAAACTTGAAAACAAAAGAAAATAATAAAATTTACCCTAAACCCTTATAGTTTGCCTTCAAGTTTCCTGAGTCTACCATCACCTGCTTACTGTCCAACCAAAAGCGAGTGATAGTGGGTAATAGTGGCAAAGTGTTCAGTGGCAAAGTGTCATTATAATGGCATAGGGGTTTCCTGAGGTCAGATTTTGCTGTAAGATAATTGTACAGGAGAAAAGGGTAAATTAACAAATTTGCTTAATGGAGATTCTCAAGCATTTGTGTATGTGCCGACACCCCATATGGGGGACAGAAACCCTGGCTACCAACAGACTGAAAAACCATTTGGGAGACATACACTTACAAGTACTGGATGTCATGTAAAAATGTCATCAAGGTCCCCATCACACCTCGCTGTTCTGTTGCAGTTGTAAGGGATTTGTCATGTTAACAAGTATTGCCTTAAAGCAGCTTGTTGATTTAGAATCAGCTGCCAATGCATGGCAACGGAAAGAAAATCAGATTTGAGAAATGTGTGCTGTGGTGGTGCACTGTAGTAAGCATCTACTGTACAGAGCACTGTGCGTCACATTAACTTGTAGTAAATGAGCATTACTACAAAGCATTGGTGTAAAAGGGGACTTATTAAAAGTAACACTACAAACCAAAGCCACTCATGACTTTTACCTAAATCTAGGCTGGGCTAGGATAGGGAAGTCATATTGACTACATACCTTTAATCCATCTTTGCCCGATGCTCCTGGTGGACCCTGCATGACACAAAAGGGAGTTTTAGTAAAGAGAATATGTATTACATAATATACAAACTACACATTCTGCCATTATAACAGCTGTATAGATGATTCATACTGATTTGCCACCATGATGTACAAAGTGAGATAAAACATGGGTTATAATGAGAACATGAATCAAGAGAAAGAGGAATTTGGATTCTAAAGTCATAGGAAGTTTGAGAGCAGTACATATGTGGTGATATTATGATAAATCATATAATATATATGATCATCATTATACACTGAGTGGACAGATTATTATGAACACCCCATCAGTACTTTGTTGGGCCACGAGATGACTCCACGAGACGACTTCATTGGGCCGCCTCTTGACTCCACGAGATGTTGAAAGGTGATGCGAGGAATCTGACACTGCACTGTTGCCCTTCTGTTGTCTTGTACCAGTCTTGCCACTCTCCATTCTGCCCTAACATTGACTAGTCACTGACGACCACAATTCGCACGTTCAGACCCAGATTTCCGGCTGACAGTCCAGTCTTTAAACATTTTAACAACAGCTGCTCTTCTTCTGCTGAATTCTGTTGTTTTGCTGATACTCGCTCCATGGCTCCGAGCGCCAACAATCATCCCAAGTTTAAAGGCTGTTAAATCACGTTGTTTACCCGTATCTTCAGAAGAAAATCACTTCTACTGTCGTGGTAAACAACCTGCTTCCCTATTAATAATGGTCTGGCCCTCTAGCAACTTCAGCGCCAAATTATAGCTAATTTGCCTACAAACGTCAGGTGGTTATAATAATCTGGCCACTAAGTGTATATATCATTATATCATCATATCAATATATAAAATATGATATAATATTGTAGTAGAAGCCATCATAGAACCAAATGGATCTGCAAGATGACAGAACTACTCAGGAAACCTACAGTCTTGACACCTTGTCTGATGCACATAAGCAACCGCAGGGAACATGTAGAGTAGCATGCTGTTGCCCAGCTCTAAAAAGAATCACTTAGAAATGGGGGCTTGTAAGAATCCGAATCTCCACTCTAAAGATGTTATCATAGTGACGCCTTACCTCTCAGGGATAACTGGGCACTTTTATTATAGTTGTATTTTCTCCTTATCAGAGCAGAAATTCAAGCCCCTTGTGGAGGGTGACCTGTGTCCTGCCTGAGCTCAGGGCTGATAACCAACACATGGTCTAGGTTGCTGAAGGAGGGTAAAACTATCAACTATCTTTTATGTAATCCTGACAACACTGTTTTATAATTATTACTACTGAGTTTGACCCTCAACATGAAATGTTTGCTCTGACAGGGTGAGAATGCAAGTAAAAAATCAAATAAGGATGCAATAATCTAAATGCACATATTTTTATTTAAGTGAATCAGTTTATGTATGTTTATGTCCATATTTCGTATTTCCATTTATTTTGTAAAGCGCTGCGCAAACTGTTAGCGCTATATAAATCCTATATAATAATAATAATAATATTTCTTTATAATTTGTAGCTTGATTTAAGTTAACAAGTCTTTTAATGAGTGAGCAGATTAGGTTTGCCACCTGTCCAGGATTCACCCGGACTGTCCGGGTTTTAAATGCTGTGTACGGGGTTCATGGCAGCAGAAACCCTGACACAAGATGTCAGGCAGACAAAAATATGAATAAGCCGCGACTCATTCTCCCAAAAAAATGTCCACGTGTTGCTAGGGTGGTCGTGTTTTCGCTTAAAGAAAAGGTGGCAACCCTAGGGTATATTGATATTCCTTTTTTTTCGGTTACTGCATTTTTTCAGGAAAAATGGATGTGTAAAGTAAATTTATAGTGAATATATCTGTTTTAAACCCTTTGTTTGCATAAATGTTGATTCCTTTAAAATTGCTGAAAAATTCACAAGCACTACAGATTATTATAATTGCTCATGGGTGACTGGTTACCTTTGAGTCACATAGAGAGTCCCACTGCACTCCTGACCGAGAAGCCCCATATATTGTGGGGGGGGGGGGGGGGGGGCTGAAGTGGCCGCGGATGGCGCCGCCAAATGCTTGCAAAACAGCACTCCAAGTTTTCTTCAAAACAAAATTATGTTATGCATTCTAGCAGGTCATATCACCATGTGTGTTTAGTCATATCACCAGTCCTCTGTTTGCCTGATGAAGAGACCGGACAGGTTTCGTAACGTTGCCACGCATGGTGATATGACCTGTTAGAATGAATTAAAGGATTTCATTTTGAAGAAAACTTGGAGTGCTGGTGACCACTTATTCTGGTTCTCTTTAAGATCCCCTGAGCAGCTCTGTCATATAGAACGTCTGCATGCTGCCCTCTACTTTAAAGTGAGTCAACAGCAGGGCAATAAAGTGGTCAGGGTGCACAATGTCCAGCAAGGGCGTCCTGCTGCATGTTTTGCTCTCCATTCCTTCCAGTTAGGAACAGATGATCTCTAGATAAATAAGATAACTAAGATAACATTTTGAGTTCCACTGAATCTCTGTTTCATGTGGAAAAGAGTTCTAGAGAAGGGGGAGGGCATAAAAGAAGTTCTGAATATGTGATTTGAAAGTAGTAAACAAAGAATAACAGGTATGATCAGGATAATACTAACCACAGGACCTCTTCTTCCTTGTTTGACATGTGAAATTTCAGGAGATGGTCCCATTGGACCCATGAATCCTCGTGGGCCAGGTGGACCAGGTGGCCCTGGGGCACCGAGTTGGCCGGCACTTCCTTTAGGGCCCGGTAATCCTTTAAACGGAAGTCAAGAAAAAAATCTTGTTATAGCCAAGTAAATAAAATGGTTGCATTTTACAAATAATAATGATATTTAAATCATGCTCAGATAAGAACAAAGTATAGTTTAGGGACAATTTTGATGTTTTTTTCTGCTGCTTGCACAGTTAAAGTCTAAGTTGGCCAACTTCTGACCTGAAGTATAAATCATTACGCTCCCTCTTGTGGCTTGTAGCTGACAATAAGTTAATAAGTCTAAGAATTAATATAAGTGAGAATATTTACACTCTTGTGATGATTAGAATACAACATAGGGAACACCGGTATATATACAATTTACTATTACAGTCCCCTCCATCCAAGATACCTTTTTGATGCCAAGCCCTGCTATGTGCCACATGAAGGGGAACACTGCTTGACTATTAATAGCCCTAATTCACTAAGATATGACTGTCGGCCGTTTTGTACTCCAGGCAAATATAGCAGGCACAAATAAATCTGGTCCAGAAGTCATTTATACATTGTTTAATGTATTTTTTGGATGCAAGCAGTGTAAATACCTGAATTTGACATGGTATCAGGCTATTGCAATCCCCTGCATAGCAGTACAGACTTGGAGAGGGAGAAGAGGCACAATAGCCAATCAGTTTTTCTGCATTGTTCATGTGCCAACAGAGAACATCATGATAGGAGTGCAGAGTGACAGAGGGATTAACTCATCAGTCTGCTGCTTCTCCTTCACTGTCCAGTCACAGGCTTGGGAGGGGTCAAGACCTCTATGTGCAACTTCACTGCAGCAGATAAAAATCACGACTTATGCCATGCCAGAAAACACTGCTGGGATTGTGACATCGGGACTGGGTCAGGCAACAAACAGCAGTTGGTGTAAATTGGCCCTTAAAGTTACATTAAAGTCACATTCCCCTCCCCCCTCCCAATGCTGCTTTAGGGACTTACCTTAAGTGATGCCTCTTGATCCGATCATCTTATTCTTCCTTCCAGTAGTTTTCAGGAGTCACTCCAGCGCTGGTGCCGGTTTCTGATCCAACGCTGACTGCTGCGTCTTCTATGTCCCATGGTGTCTGCGTGGGTGCACGCTGCCGGGCTGCCTGCATTGACTTACCCCGTGTCTCTCCTCTTCTCCCGGTTGAAGATCTCTACTGCGCAAACGCCCGCCCCATGATCCTTCACGTCCGCCTGAGAATCTTCAGATCTTCAAGCGGCAGAGATAGAGGTAAGTAATAACCTATTTGGTAACTTTTTAAATTTGTTTTATGTTTTTGCATATATCTACTGCTTGCTAGATGTAGATACATGCAAAAAAAGGCTTAATTCTACTTTCAGAGTCGTTCAAAACTGCGGAAAACCTAATTTGCTACGGATTTCATTGTAACAATGATGGTTGCACTTAGGACTAAAATAGACATGAAAACTTTTATTTGCAGCCATTATGGTGCCGCAAGGAATCATAAATCCATTGTTGCACTGGAGCTGGCCTGATACTTCAGGTGATACTTTAGTTTCTGGAGTTAGCTAGTTTAAGGGGGGGGGTTTGGCAATCTGTGACCCATTGTGACGTCTTCCTTTACTTCCTATTTTGAAGAATCAACAGTAAGTAAAAAGAAAGCAATGTACTCTTAGGCATTTGTCACCAGAACAAGTTACCCCATGCGAAGATTCTGCCTGTATTCCTGCTATGATGAGAACTAGATTAACCGTCAATGGTTTATTTTCACAGAGACACAGCAGGAAGTAAGAAGAGATCTATTTGAAGCAAAGGGATAACAGCTGGCACTATTGGAAGATTTCCCCTTACCTCCTGTTTCTCTGACAACTAAAAAATGTTGAATTTCCCATCACTTTCTGTATTAGAGTGTACAATCAGCTTTAAAGTTACCAAAATAGATGTAATACAAGGGCAAAGCTAAACTATCCAATCAATCGGCATTCAATCAGGCAGGCTCTGGCACTTCATAGTTGTTGTTAGATCTAAAGGAAATTGTGCAGTCACATTGTAACATGTGTTGTGAGCTTCAAAGAGATCTGCTTGCTTTGAGGCACACTTTGTATGATTGAAGCTTTTCCTTTAAAGAAGAATAACGGTGAAACATTTTATTAAACCTTGCAGTGGGGCTATCCCTGTACTGCATGGGTTTGGTGTTCAATTTGTCTAGGTGCTAAAAAAAAAAGAGTTATACTCATCAGAACATTAGAGCCTACTCCCTGCTTCATTGATCATTGAAGTGTGAATCCACCTCCGCTGCACAGATGGAATGCTGCTCAGCCTCCTCACGTCTATACACAGTCTATGCACAGTGTATAGAGCGTGAGGACACCAGGATCCTTAGACCACTGCAGACACACTCCAGACACTGGTCTAAGAACAAGCTGGCTCGGATGGTCTGGTGAGTATAACTTTTCTTTTTTTTTAGCACCTAGACACAAACAAGCACTTAACCCTTGCAGTGTCAGGGTAACCCTACTCCATAGGTTAATCGTTTTGTTTCCCAGAGTTCTTCTTAAGGTCTGTGTAAGAGTTAAGCTTTTGAATAGGTATAATGTTAAGAGTTCATTTAAGTGGTTTAAGTTCCTAATTAACTCCTTCTCCCTGCCCTTTAGGTAGTTTTTTCTACCAATATTGTTCTAAAATATTGTTCTAAAAAATATTTTTTGTGTTTTCATTCATCTTTCTTAACTTTGTTTTGGGACTGTCACAAACAACAGAGAGAAATCCCAGGTATCCTTTGACACATCAACAGCAAACGCATGACAAAAAAGTAAAATCTAAATTTATGAGCTTGGGATGAATGAAAAACAGTTTCCAGACTAGATCCGGAAATTTCATATTCCTTTCAATTTAGATTTTAGCATCAAAGAACATCAAAGAACGGAAAAAAGTCCACATGTCATAAAACGCAGTCATTGTTGAGGTAGCCATGGTAAACAGACTGCTTTGTTTGTATCTTAGCATGAAAAAGAATCATTATAAAATGCTTGAGGTCCAGAATGGGGAAACAAGGAAACGGCTAATGACTGAATGTATTCTGTGCTGATCAGAAAATCAATGCCATGCCAAAATTTGGGGCCCCTGGATCTGGCGATACCTTTCCCCCTGATTTTGATGATAGACTAATTGATATTTAAAATCTGGTATTTTTCATTCATCAGTTGGTAGGCTGCCTCATCCCCTCGGAATGTCTCTTTCCTTTTCTTTCTTTTCTCTCCATCTTTCTCTTTTTTTCCCCCTACCAGTCTTTCCTATTTCTCTCCTACTGCTAAGCTATCATAAGGTTCTTTATCTCCTTTTTATCTTTACTTCTTTATCCTTCTACTATTTATTTTTTCATATACGAGGTTCCCTCTGTATTAATGCTCCTATTAGAGATCGAATACCAATGCCATTGTTGTTTCAGTAGATATTAATGAGATCTATAGGATTTCGTTATACAGGTGAAACTCGAATAATTAGAATATCGTGCAAAAGTAATTGCAGTAAGTTCTGCAAAATGGGCCCAAACCAAGTATTGAGTACATATGCATGCTTGTACTTTTCAGAGGTCCGATATTGTTCTATGTACAATCCTTGTTTTATTGATTGCATGTAATAATCTACTTTTTTGAGGTTGTGGATTTGGGGTTCTTTAAGCCATAATCATCACAATTATGATTTAATAAAACTTATTATATAAAAATAAATCAGTGCCAGTTTAATCATATGAAATGCTTGCCAATTAATTAAAGTAGGTAGATGTAAGCTCTAACTCAACGGCATTTAGTTTGCCAAAATACTGAATATCATGCCCATTTTTTTTTCTTCATAATACGGTCTTCACCTTTTCATCCTTTGTCGCATCTCAGCAATTGCTGATCTCATGCAGCCTATTTGGAGCCACTTTATGTTTACATGTGGCCCAGCAAAAACTGCACATTATTTTGCAGGGCAGGCTTCCTAATGGTGATAACAGTGGAATCTACCCCTGTAAAGTGCATTTGGCACAAGCGCTTGTAATGTCCATAGGGGGAATATATGACAGCATGAGAGCTCAGGGGAACCATTGGGAGAGAGGGACAGAGTGTTGTCACTCTATAACAGGAAGTGCCTGAACAAAGACCTTTGCGGCAGGGTCACCAGATATTATTTTAATGAAAGTTGTATAATAAAAAATATTGAAAATGCCACTTTAAAAAATACTTTTACATGTTAACGCTTTACATGATATTTCGATTTGGTTTCCATATACTTTCAACCATTCTGATACTCACACTTATCATACTAAGAAATCCTCCTGCATTTTATTTTTTTGTTTTTATTCATCATACAGCTAAACATACACTGTGAGATTTTCATACGATTTGGTAATTTCAAGATATTTAGCAACAACTGTGTATAAAAACAATGACTTGCCTGGATGTAAAGTGAACCTCGCTCAATGTTAAACTTATAAAAGAAACATCTTGACTATTCATAGATATCATAAGATGTCTGCAGGCTGCTGAAGAGCAACTTTTTAACACCTAGGGGTCTATTTATAAAAAATGTAGATAACTTATCCACCCAGCAAAGCTGCAGGTACATTTGTTCTGTGACAGTTACACAAACAAATGTTCTTAGTAGGGATGCAACCGAAATGATAACATTTGTCAGGCTGAAACCCAAACCGAAAATGACTTTTTTTCCAACCTTTTTAAAAATTATTAATTTTGTTATTAACCTTCTTGTTAATAAAAAAGGGGCTTTTGGGAAATATCAGGGGTCTAAACCGATCCCTGATATTTCCCTTTTAAAATGAAAAAAGAGATTGAGGACACAGAGTCCTACATCTCTTTTTCTGTATCCCGTTATGAATAAACAGAAAGCCTCTGTACTGAGTGCCCCTGTCCATTCATAAACGATGTCCACAATCATGAATGAACAAGAAGTGATATGGAGCACATTCTGTTCATTTATAACTGGAGGAACAGTAAGCTTACCACCAGATCTCTCCATTGCTCCGGTCTCTCTACTGTCCTACCGCTCGTTGATATTCTACTCTTGTGAGTACCTGTTAGTTCACATTTTACCAATTGTTGAATAAATCGATCTGCACCAGAAAAGGCGCCCCTTTTTGTTTTGTCTTTCTGTAATTTATCTTCTGGTCGAATCTTGGTCGTTCTTCTATAGGTTCATTCTTACATATCAGAGTGAATGGTGAAAATATTGCATTATGGCAACTAGACGGAGCTGAGGCTCATAGGAATTATCTCTTTACTAACATGTATTTATTTCCTATGACTCTCAGCTCCATCTTGTGGCCATAATGTAGTATTTTCCCCATTCAGTCTCTACCTATTGAAGGACATTCTACTAGAAAAGAATTTACACTAAGAACATTTGTTCTTTCCTTATTCTCTCAACACCTGGTTAACTCGCACAGAACAAATGCATATGCAGTTTCAATGGACGACTAAGCCATGAACATTTTTAGACCCCTTTAAGTGGACTAAAATTACCCCAATATGTCTGAGGTCACCATTATTACCTGGAAAACTCTCTTCTGTTCCCTTCCCTGATTTAATTCCACTTACTGTACTTACTGGGCTCTGGCTCTGCTTGACTCCATGGCTAAGCTTCATCAACTGCTATCCCCTTGTCTAGTGAGAGTGTCATTACTGGTCACCAAGTAAGGCTCAATGGACAATGGAATGGCAATTGGCAGGGCTTAGCCATTTAGTCAGCCCATGGTAGAAAAGTGAAACTAAATCATAGAGGGGCGCAGAAGAAGCCTCAATAGCCATCTTGTGCTATCAGTTATGAAATATCATGCAGATCTCTTCACTACACCCAAATTTTGTGTTGTTCTGTTTGGGAAAAACTCTGACATGCCCTGAGAGTATCAAAGCTTGCTGACATTGCACAACAGGCATGCATCTACAGCTATTGTTGGCCTACTTAAAGTGACACTAAACTCTGGAGTTAAAGTGACATTAAGGGCAAAAGTCCCCCCGTTCCGTCCCCCACAGTGCTAATATAAGGACTTACCTTAAATGACGCCTCTTAATCCGATCATCTTCTTCTTTCCTGTAGTTTTTAGCTGTCCCTCCAGCGATGGTGTCGGTCTCTGATCCAGCACTGACCCCTCTGTCCTCCTCTTCTCTGATGTCCCACGGAGTCTGCACAGGTGCACACTGCTCCATATACTTATCTTGTGTCTCTCCTCGTCTCCCGGCCAAACATCTGAACTGCGCATGCGCCCGCCCCAAGATCTTTTGCGGTCGCCCGTGAAATTTTCAGATGTTCGGACAGGAGCACGTGGCGCAGACACAGGTAAGTATTAACCCTTAAAAAAGTGTTTTTCTTTTTAATCATTTTGCAGTAGATATAGGCAAAAACATGTGAGGGTTTAATAACCCTTTAAATCGCAAAAAATACATTCAACTGTTAACTGTTAACAATAATGTATCTTATTTGTGTATCACTCGGCTGTAGATCATCAAATCATCTCTGAATTGGTGCTGACACTGTCCTTCCTTCTGGAGGGGGGCTACTTTGTGTGTTATAAAGTAGCCACCACTCCAAGCTCGCTCCTGTGATGGTTTACAATCTTATGTTTAGTTTACTCATTTGTAATGAGATTGTAGTTCATCCCAGAAGGGACTACTTTACAACACACATAGGGACCATGGGGAACAAAAGTAGCCCCCCTCCAGTAGGAAGGACAGTGTCAGCACCAATTCAGAGATGATTTGAGGATCTACAGCCGAGTGATACACAAATAAGGTACATTTGTGTTATTATTAAGTTTTAACTCCTGAGTTTATTGTCAATTTAACAAAATGCTAGTTACCTGACATCATGAGTAGGAAGTAGAGGCCACCAAAAGGTTGCCTTCCCGACAAAGGTGGATGTTTAATAGGATGAATAGGGTGAAGCTATTTGCTATTTCTACATCATTTTTCCTAATAGTATAGAGGAAAGACCTTTTACACTTCAAAAATCAAACCAAAGTAGTGCAGCGCTATGACTACATTAAAGCCATACAGGTCAATGTTTATTTCCCATGTTTGTTTCTGATTAGCCTCTACATTTATTTTCATTTCCTGTGCTATGATTTCTGTGCGGTGTAGTTATTCACACATGGTTGGAATTTTCACATGTACACTCAGTGAGTATTGCAGAGATTGTAGTGTGTTTTGTATTGTTACCTGGGGGTCCTTGTGCTCCTGGTAACCCCGGTGGTCCTTGAACATACATGGTGGAAGCCAGTACCTTGTCAGCTGTGATTTGTTTGCTGGATTCAGACACGCTGTTTGGTAACATCGCCAGCTATAATAAAAAAAAATATGATAATAATGTTTTAAAGGAAGGGTAAGAAAAAAATAACATTTAAAGAGATTTTCGTCACAGTGTACAGGCTGCAAAAAGTTCTAACCTTCCTCACTCTGTCCAAAAACGAAAACAAAAAGTCTGGAGTTGGGCTTTTAAGTGGAAGTAAATCCATATTATGATGGGTCACGTATGTACAATATGGCACACTTGCCGCCCCCCCTACACACAGCGCTCCGGTGTCCAAGATTTCCCTCATCACTGCTGCCCATAGCAACTAGTCAACTGTGTATCAGGGACTTTACTCCTCAGCATTTTTTTAAAAAGGTCTTGGCCTGTCTAATAAATTGTGACCTTTACACTGACAGATACTTTAACATCAATTCACAAATCTGATGTATATATAAATAAATATATAATATTATTGTATTATTGGTATATGGATTTTATTTTATTGTGTGTGTATATATTATTATTATTTCCTTCATATTCTGACGACGGCCGCTGTAAAAAAAAACAAAACAGAAAGGGCACCTCCCTGAAATGAGACGGGAACCTACCTGAAATAAGGTTTTGCAGGTTGGGATGTCAATGCATGCCAAGATTGTACGCTGAGCTGCACAATGTACAATTAGAAGAAAATTGCTAGCAGGTGAGGCAAAAGGTTTTATTACAGAAGAGGCATACAAAGTTTCTTCTGCTATAATAGTCTCCTTGCTAGTATTTCTTTAAAAACACATCAGTTCTGACCTAAGGATTAAAGGAGAACTATGAGGCGAGTGATTTTCACTCAACCTCATAGTTCGAGCCGACGTGTGACAATGAAACTGTCACACGTAGCTCAATAGATCGGGAAGTGAGTCAACACATACCGTCGCCCGCTCACTTCTCGATCCTGTGCCTGCAGAGAGCCGTGACTGTCACTCACGGCTTCCTGCAGGGATTCCCCCCTCCCCTGTCCGATCCTCCAGCGCTGACTGGCAGAACGGATGGGGGAGGGGTTGGGCACAGCTTGCTCTGCCTCTAGATAAGCAGAGCCAGCTGTCAATCACGCAGCTGGGTGGATCTCGACAGTAATCCGTATACTGAGCTTTGGGTGACGGAGGACGCTAGTTTGTGGAGGGGTGATGATTATCGGCAGAACAGATGTTCCCTATTGGAAGATTTACCCCCACCTTCATATACTGAGACAACTTAAAAATGTTGGATTTCCTATCACTTTCTGTACTGCAAATACAGGAGTAAATCTCCCGAACTGGGTTTATCGAACACAATAAAAACTTTACGGGGGCTCCAACTCCCCACACTCTACCCAAATTAAAACAAACCCTTTTGGCTTTATGTACAATTAAAGTGACACTAAACTCAGGAGTTAAATCTTAAAAATGCATTAACATGCCTTCACTATTAACAAAAATGTATCTTATTTGTGTATCACTCGGCTGTAGATCCTCAAACCATCTCTGAATTGGTGCTGACACTGTCCTTTCTGGAGGGTGGCTACTTTTGTTCTCTATGGTCCCTGTGTGTGTTGTAAAGTAGTCACCGCTCCAAGCTCACCCCTGTGATGGACTACAATCTTATGTTCAGTTTACTAAGTTGTATTGAGATTGTAGTCCATCACAGGAGTGAGCTTGGAGGTGTTAAAACAGCATTGTATGTGGCAGACAATGGATGTCTCCCCTTCCCCCCCCCACCTATATTCAAGCTTGGCTTCTCCATTTTTACATAAAATGGCCTCTTTCACCCCTCTTTTAAACCAGTCCTCCTCCCTGTCTAGGATGCGTACTTGACTGTCTTCAAAGGAGTGTACACGTCATTCTGAATTGAGAAAGCTGGTTGGATGGTCAGTGAAACGTTTTCAAGAAAAATACAGCAAGTCCAGTTGCCTTGACTTATTTTTTACAGATATAGTATGTATGTAGCTCCTTCCCCTCCCACGTGCAAATAAAAAAAATATAACATTTACATAAAGAATCCAAAAAATTTATATTTGTGGAATAAAAAATGTTTATACACCAAGCGAGCAAATGTTTGCTGCAGATTCAACAATTCGTTGATGTGATCCTTAGCATGAAAGGAGACAATCCCCCGATATACAATGTTTAACCCCTTCGTGACTGACGACGTACAGTGTACGTCGCCAGCATCGGGGCTGTTTAAACAGACTCCCGGCGACTTTTGCCGCCGGGACTCTGTTTAAACTTGTAGAGCCGACTGTCGGCTTTACAACAGAAGCACATATCTTGCCTATATTTGTTTGTGTCAGCCTATTTGAATAATATACATGGAGAGGGCCAGATACCTTCTGCTTGAGCTGTAAGACGGTCTGTTTTATTTGGTGAAATTCCTTGCATGTGTCCGAACAAATTCCCGGTTTCAACACATTGTTGGATTTCTCGAATTCCCCTGCAACGTAAAGCAATGCTTGTTAGAACAAAGTAAACTCATTACTTACCATGTGGATGTGAGAACGCTGTGCTGACAAGTAATTGCATTTGTGTTTCAGAAAATATTTTGCTTTATAAAAGGCTTGACGAAACCATAAAGGGGGATTTGCCGTTGGGTTTTGGCAGGATCAGTTTTTTTTTTTGTAGGTCTGCGGGAAAACATAAGTATTAATAAAATACCTACAGACATAAAGTCTTAAAAATAATAAACATGTAGCGGCACAGTCTTGGAGACCAACAAAAGGGCCTGGCACCCCCAAGCTTCCCTATTGGCCAATAAATGTGCAGTAAAAATAGAAATGAAAGTGTATGCAAAGCCAAAACTGTTTTTTTAAAGTTTTGGAAAAGTTTTGGAATAGGGAATAGTTATGTTCCCCATCAGGTTTTTGTCACATTAAAAGACTTCCCATAACTTCCTGTTCCACAGACACAACAGGAAGTGAGAGGATATCTCTCCTAAGTGGGGGTGAAATCTAGTCCTAAAGAATTGTCACTAGAACAGGTTTCCCCAAAGGATTTCCCTTCACATTTCCCATCACCATCAGGTACAAACAGAGGTAATACATCTACCCAGCAGGAACCCAAATGGCAATACAAATCTGACAGTGGTTTTATATAGTAATAAGGCAACTGGCCTGGGTTCAGCTCACAGGTGGATTTGCAAACCCAGCCTAAAATTCACTAACCTAGAACATAGTGCCACTAAACTCCACTAAAGTCTATTGGACCATTTTTTCTGGCCTTTTTTAAGGTTAATTTGCAAGCTTTTGGAAAAACGTAGGTGGGGATCACCAAGGGAACATGTATCAATTCAAAAAAATAAAGGGGGTTATTCACAAAGGAGCAGAAGAATTGAGTCGAACCTTTGGCTAATCCTTCGGCTTGCTGCAGCTGCAGGAACCCTTCGGGTTCGAACCTAAGGGCTGCTGAACGGGCTATTCACAATAGCTGTACAGCAGCCGAAGGCAGCCAAGCACACAGCAGACAGCCAAGCACACAGCCGAGCCTAACACATATGCATCAGCTCAGCTGAGCCAAAGACACAGCCAAAACGGGGAGAACGGTCTGCTGAAGCAAATTGTAGACAAATAGAAAAAAGAACTGTGTGGGGTTCACCCCAAAAGTCATACCAGACCCTTTAGGTCTGGAAGGAATTTTAAGGAGGAACCCCAATGGCCAAAAATAAAAAAAAAGTGGGGTCCCCCCTAAAATCCCATACCAGACTCTTAATCTGGGCATTGGCCTGGCAGGGCAGGAAGGGGGGGAAACAAGCGGGACCCCCCCCTCCCCCTGCGCCATACCGGGCCACATGCACTCAGCATTGGGAGGGTGCTTTTCCAGGGGGAGCCCCCTGGAAAAGCACCTTGTTCCCAATGCCGATGGTGACAAGGGCCACTTACCCACAACCCTGGCGTGGTGGTTTTGGAGGTCTGCAGGCAGGGGGGCTCATCTGAATCTAGGTACCAGAATTCGGGTATTCACTCTCTGCTGTTTGCCCCCTATGAGAACAGGGGTGAACAGCAGCGAGTGAACTGCCGAACATTCACCTCAGCAAATCCAGATGTTGGATCGGCTGAGGCGAACGGGTTCTTCCCTTCGGTTCAGTCGAACATGCTGAGGCTGTTGGGCTGAACCCAAAGGGAAGTGAAGGCAGCTGAAGGCAGCCAATGTACAGCTGAAAATAGTCGTATGGGGCTGAAGTGAATAGGCGAACAGGCTTGGGCTCCCTTCATTTCCGGTTGGTTATTCAGTCGGCTGCCTTTGGCAGCTTAGTGAATAACCCCCTAAAAATACACATCAGCGGGTAGAGGGTCCTTTATTAATGCTTGAAGAATGGTCAATGGCATCAGCCAGCCCCAATGACCCTTCAACACAAAGATTGTGCATGATGATCTTGCTTCTTCAACTGACAGCTCCGGGGTGGCTAACTAAAGTGACACTAAACTCAGGAGTTAAATCATAAAAATGCATTCAAGTACCTTAACTTTTAACAAAAATGTATTTTATTTGTGTATCACTCGTCTGTAGATCCTCAAATCATTTCTGAAGTGGTGCTGGCACTGTCCTTCCTTCTGAAGGGTGGCTACTTTTGTTCCCCATGATCCCTGTGTGTGTTGTAAAGTAGTCATCACTCCAAGCTCACTACCCTGATGGACTACAATCTCAATACAAATGAGAAAACTGAACATGAGATTGTAGTCCATCAAAGGAGCGAGCTTAGAGTGGTGACTACTTTTATAACACACACAGGAACCATTGAGAACAAAAGTAGCCACCCTCCAGAAGGAAGGACAGTGTCAGCACCAATTCAGAGATGATTTGAGGATCTACAGCCGAGCGATGCACAAATAAGATACACTTTTGTTAATAGTTGAGGTACTTGAATGCATTTTTAAGATTTAAATCCTGAGTTTAGTGTCACTTTAATGTAAATAAGCCGGCCGGTGACCACTTATGTTTATGGCTATAGTCACTGACACTTGTTTACTATGTGAAGCCAGAGGCTGGGCTGGGAAGTCATCCATTTATTGGCAGTACTAATTCCTCTATTAAATTAATCACATCCTGCTGTAGCAGCAGCCAGAGGTTCCGTTGACCCAAACTTGAAGCTCATCCCTATATTTAACACATTCTCTATCCACCCAAAACACTTTAAAGGAGAACTATGGGGTCAGGGCTTTTCCCCATAGTTCTCCTTAGGGTAATGGGAGGACACAAACTAGCGTCCTCACGTACATAGTTCTCCTTTAAAGTGAGAGTTTATTTTTATATTTGTTTCTTAGAACATTTGTTTTTTTCCATTTCTAAGTTTTATTTAAATATATGTTATTATCTTTTTCTTGCCAAATTAAAGTAGTATTAAACTCTCAAACTTTTTTCAATTACGAATCCAGATCAAACAAATATACATTGCCCAGCAGCAGTATTTCTTTACATTTTTGCCCAAACACTTACAGTCCAAACAGCTCCAACTCTCTCAGCTACCTGAACTTTCTGTCTAGTACAAGATCACAAGGAGATGAGAGAAAAAAAGAGGGAAGAGTGGGGAGTCGGGGAGCAGATTGCCTTGCTGTTCCTCTGTGTTTGTGGACACACACACAGCTTATTAACAAACACAAAGGTGGATCCATAGGACCCTGCACAGAAGAGGAGTCACCCTAAAACAGGATATCAGGGCCATTGCTCAGGGGACCAGCTTATTCTGCAGAAAACTTTTAAGCATTAAGGAGGAGCAACCCTTGTAAGTGATTTAATCTGCATTTGAAATAGGTTAAAACCATGTAACACTTTAATATTACTTTAAGATAACAATCCAGATTGTAAACAACTCTCAGATGCATAATCAGTGCCTAAAAACACTTATTCAGTCTGTCTCCTAAGACACAGCCATTTCCCCATTGGGTGTCACCATTTTGCTTTTCGCATTGCATAGAAAGTTGAAACCAAGCTGTCATTCACATACATAGTACAGCAAAGAGGCCTCTTCCTATCCCAGTCACCTGTCACTCCTATTTGCATATGTTAGCAGCCACGGGGACTGGTTAGAGGTGGAGATCCAGTCATTCCCCCAAAGGCCCAGTCATTACCCCATTGGGTGCTGTCATCTTGCTCCCATTGCTTAAATAAAGTGAAGCTAAGCTGTCAATCACATCCATTACAGTAAAGACACCTCTGCCTATCCCATGACAGTCACCTGTCACTGCTCTTTGCATATGTTAGCAGTAGTGATGAGCCAAACACCCCCGTGGTCGGTTCGAATTCGAGCTTTCGAACATAGAAAAAATTCGAACTTGAACGTAATGCATGTCTATGGGGGTAGAACTTTGAAAATAAATTGACGCCATTTTGTACCCTTATATGCTAGTTATTGGCCATAAAAAGTGTATGGGGATCCGGGTATTGCCCTGGGGGACATGTAACAATGAAAAAAACACTTTTAAAAAATACAGTTTTTAAAGGAGCAGTAATTTTAACATCACTTAAAATAAAACAATAACAATGAAAAATTCCTTTAAATATTGTCCCTTGAGGGGGTCCCCTAAACTGCCTGTAAAGTGGAAAATGTGTACAATCTATAGAACCTGCTGCAGCAAAACTGACATTTTTAAAGAAAAAAAACAAAGCGTGCGGTTCCCCCTCCCAAACAATACCAGACCATTTAGGTCTGGTAGGAATTTTAGGAGGGACCCCATGTAAAAAAATACAAAAAATAAAGGGTGGGAAAAAAATGTGGGGTCTCCTCTAAAATTCCTTCAGACCCTTAATCTGAGCACAGGCCTGGCAGGGCAGGAAAGGGGCGGACGAGCGAGAGCCACCCCCCCCCCTGCAATACCAAGCCACATGCCCTCGGTCGCCCCTGGAAAAGCACTTTGTCCCTGTGCCGATGGGGACAAGAGCCTCTTCCCCACAAGCCCTGGGGCATTGGTTGTGGGGGTGCGGACAGGGTGGCTTATTCAACCAGAATTTTGAACAAATTCTTTATTTGAAAAAAAATACAAAAGACAAGTTTTCGACAATTCTTTTATTTAAAAAAATATGGATCCATCAACGTAATCCAGCGTCAATTATGATGTCCAGTGTTGTCCACGAAGATGACTCGACGAAATAAAAATAAAACAATATAAAATAAATAGAAATAATTTTAAAAAACAAAGAACCAACCACCACCGTCTGCTGCGACAAACTTCTGCCGCAGAATGGCATTTTGACAGATGCCGGCAACAAACAAACATTTGGGCGGAGCTAGCAGTGACAGCTAGCTCCTCCCAATTGTTTACAGTTGTAATGGGTGAGCCATGATTGGGCAAAGTCATGATGACTCTTACAGTTGTTTACAGTTGTAATGGGTGAGCCATGATTGGCCAAAGAATCATGGCTCTTACAGAGTACTGGGCCCTGATTGGGCAAAGTCTTGCACCTGACCGCAGGGCTTTAGCCAATCAGGCTCACATGGCACAGTGCCATGCGGGGAGCTCGGCGGCCGGACGCCTTGACAGTTTGTGTGTACGCCGTTCAACTTGAACATCGAGCCCATGCCTAGTTAGCAGCCAGGGGGACTGGTTAGAGTTGGAGACCCAATCATTCTTCCAAAGGCACAGTCATTACCCCATTGGGTGCTGTCATCTTGCTCCCATTGCTTAGAGAAAGTGAAGCCAGGCTGTCAATCACATCCAGTACAGCAAAGACACCTCTGCCTATCCCATGACAGTCACCTATGCTGCTCTTTGCATATGTCAGCAGCCAGGGGGACTGGTTAGAAGCGGAGATAAGGGTTTGGTTGATGACTTTACTTTATATCAAATCTAAATTTGCATTGGCCAGTTTCGTCCGCTTAACCATGCATGTCAGGAAAGGAAGGCATACATATTAAACAATTAATGGAGAACATTATGAAGATACGACTAACTTTACATGCTTGGAAAAAGGTTCACTTTAAGACTAGTAATAACCTTTAGCCAAGAAATGTCTATATCAGATATTACTTTTCCAACAGCACAATGTAGTATTACATCAGGGAATTGCATGAAACAGGGATGAGTATTGGAGTTATTCACTTGATAGATATTGTAATAGCTCTCTCCATTCTTTATCCTGAACGGTGCAAATGTGTTTGCAATTTGAATTTGTATCAATAATTATTATTGCCTTAACCCACTTTGCTGTATTGCAGGTAATAAATTAAAAAAATATGGAATGCATATAATATCTCCAAAATTTTTCTGAGTGCAACATACAGAGCTGCGTTTGATCTGTGCTAGAAAACGCAAGCCATTAAAAAGGTTGGCAGATATTCATCTTCATTTCTAAAACGGTTCCAGGCAAAGAAAATGAGATTAGCATTGCTTTTTGTCTCGGCAGACATGTGAAATTCGAAAAGTTCCAGACCTGAGCGAGTTCTAGATTATGATAGGTGAACTTCAAACCCTAAATTGTCCAGGGGGACTCAGTATCTTTCATTAACGTGTATTCCAACTTTTATTTTGCTCTGCTTGGACAGAGTTATCCAACCCTTCTAAATGATAATAAAGAACTAACAAACATATCTATGTAGTATATGGTTTATCTCCTGGTAAACGGCTGGACTCTTATTCTGCTATAAGGACGCGATGTTACTTAATTTATTACCAATGTCTTTAATCACGGTTATTCTTTCATTTTTATATGCGGAGTGCAGCACAAGGAGAACATATGACAAACACTTATTATGTATAAATGGTTTCTAAATTTCCAGATAAATGTTGACAGTGGCGTCAGAAGGTGGGTGCGGTGGGTGTGGCCCGCACCCGGGTGCCACCATTGGAGGGGTGACACCAAAATGACTAACAGTCATTTTGGTGTCACCCCCTATGAAAAATCGGGCACTCGGTCACGGTCTGAGGGCCCCACAGTGTCCGGAGAGCCCGCCAGGTGATCCCGCCAGGTGAACGTCCCCTCCTCTCTCTGCCGGCGTCCATCACCAAGATGGCCGCCAGCAGGCGTCACTAAGACGACTGCTCATGCGTGATCATGTTATCACGCACGCACACGGCACTGTGCGATGACGTCACGGCGGGTTGTCACCCGGTCTCCGCTCCGGGTGTCACCCAGCTTCGGGAATGTTGAAGACAATAGAAGTGTAACAAGAGCACCTGTATTGTAGTAATAAACATAAAAGGGCAGCCGTCAACACTGCACTTTGTTCTTAAAATTGTTTTAAAGTATTTAGGAAACATCCTTTTATAGGATACTTCCACCTTGTTTCATGTTACACCCATATATAAGGTATAATTATGGGTGTAACCTGTAGACCTCAATGGAGCACAAGTGCAGTGATGTCACCGCATTTGGAATCTATTGATTACTGCCTCCAGTCCCATAACGGAAGATAACTGAATGTGAGATTGTAATCCATCCCGGGAGCGAGCTTGGATCGGTGACTACTTTACAACACACAGGGACCATGGGGAACAAAAGTAGCCACCCTCCAGAAGGAAGGACTGAGGATCTACAGCCAAGTGATACACAAATAACATACATTGGGGGGAATTTATCAAAATCGGAGCAGAAGAATCTGGAGCAGTTGTCTATGGCAACCAATCAGCTTCTTTGTTCAGTTAAGGTTTGAAAATGAAAGGTGAATTATGATTGGTTGCCATGGGCAACTGCTCCAGATTCTGTTTGCTCCAGTTTTGATAAATTCCCCTCACTGTTGTTAATAGTTTAGGTACTTGAATGTATTTTTCAAGATTTAACCTCAGAGATTAGTGTCACTTTAATGCACATGTGGTGTGGAGTTGCAGGATCTTTATTAGGGAAATCTTGATATTGTAGAACCCAAAAGCTATACAAAGCCAGTGGGCCAAATACTTAATTTTACATAAATAATTATTATGGTTTTTGCAGAAGTTCTAAAACAAAGGTGAAGTATGGGAAAGCCATTAAAAAAGATACCTGTGTTCATACCTTGATTCCCCTTGATGCAGGTTCTCCCATCCTCCTCCAGGAGGTAGCCTTCATGACACTCACACCTATAGCTTCCTGGGGTGTTGATACAGATGTGAGAACACACAGTCTCATTCTTCCGAGCACACTCATCAATATCTATATAAACATAAACAATATGGAAAGACATGAGATGAAAATGAAAGCAATATCAGCCAATAACACAGAAATGAGTCGCTCTGAGAGGAAAGGGAATGTCTCTTCTATTCTGTAAGGATCCTGTATATACAGCTGTACTTTAGCTATAGTAGGAGCAGGGTTGAACCAATGACTAAGCCAATTTGTTCTGGGAAATTGCAGGATCAATTCAAATCAAATGCAACTGCAGAAGGAAACTGGGGATAACCATTATCATGCCCATGACATCCTTTCTGAAGTGCGTTTCCATGAAAAATTGGTTAAAAAGGTTTCTTAAAAGCCAAGCAGCATAGGAATTTCCTATGCTCCGTGGCTCCATCTAGTGGTGGCAGTGCTGTGCGAATGGCATTTGCCAAGCTACGTATACTCTGGATGGAAGATTTACAAATCAGACCCATAATCTCTTGTTTGTTCATAAGATCAGATTGATTAGATTAGATTACATGAGATTGAAGTTCTCCGTACATATTTTATAGTTCAGTAGAAAACATTTTATTTGATTTTCACCTTCTGTATGTTTTATATCTTTATGATCATACATTCACAGGGTTATTCACAAAAGGGTGAAGAGTTTGGAGAAGGCGGGAGAAGTGAACAATCTAGGACAACATAGCTGAGCGGCAAAGTGAGCTTAATTGAATAATTTTTCCAAATCAGCTATTTTGGCCTAGATTGTTTACTTCTCCTGCCTTCTCCAAACTCTTCACCCTTTTGTGAATAACCCTGTCAGTTTTTTAATCCCCTGCATCTCTTCTATGTGTCTGCAAAGCTATGTCAATAGATTTGAATTGTGATATGGGGGACAACAGAGTTAAAAAGTAAGCACTTAGGCAGCATCTCTTTGAGTCACGTAGGGGGGTGGCAGGCATAGTGGCATGGCTGCTCCTCTGCACAATGTTTGCAGCATGTCTGCCACCCCCTTTGGGGCCAGGGCATTCCAGGCTGCTAAGAGATGTTTAAGGGCCAAACACATCTTCCTGCCCAGCTCTTGGCAACCTGGGATTCTCTGGCTAGTTTTCCGCCCAGCTCCAGGCAACCAGCATTCCAGGATGCTAAGAGTAGGGTGGGGAGATGCAGAGCCTGAAGAGGGCGATGTCACTCTCAAGTCTGATGTCGCTGTCTTCTCTACCCACTTACCGCTGCTCTGATTGCATGCTCCACTCCCCCCGCCCCCCGACCAACCCTGCCACAGACGGCCAAACAGACACCACTGGTAGAAGCCCTTCAATTACTGAGAAATCATGCTCCAAAATCATTAGTTAAAAAAAACCCTGGAGCCGCCACTGCTAGTGACAAGCAACATCAAACGGAATAATGGCTGGGGCAAAGGAGTACTGTTGTCCTGTGAATCATGTGACACACACAGCCAATGGGATCATCTAACATCCCTTGTGTGCTGATGTCACCATCAGAAGTGCCCTGCTCCTTGCAGAATACCAAGGTTATAGAGAACCACAGTGGACACAGGTGGAAGCTAAAGACTGGCAGAGACAGCCTTCAAATTGCTTTGGTATGTTGGCACGCAAGACCCACATGTAGGCAGGGACTTCAAAAGGTCCAGTTGGCTGTGTCTGTTCTCAGGCCAAAAGTTCCCAGTTTTCCCCTGAAGTGAAGCAAAAAGTTGCAAGCCAGATGATTTTGGAAATGTTATAGACTGTAAACCAACACTGCAACCGTAACCAAGAACCAAGCCTAGGTATTTTTACAAAAACGATTGCTGGATATTTCTGATTGAGTTGACGTCTCTTTTATTCCACTGTACATTAAAACCAACAGCAACTCGTGTTATTGGATGTCCCCTGACATGCTTTCAGTTTTAGTCAACGCCTTCTCATCACCGTGAGTCATTTTTCATTAACTGTCCATTGCTAGCCATCCAAGGACACAATTAAGAGGACTTTAGGTGGAGTTGAGAAGATTCCTATCTCTTGGATGGCAGAGTGAAAATTCCATGAACCTCTCCTTGAGAACTGATGAGGCAGCCACAACTTTACTTTCTACCTACATGTGCTGCTGATGAAAATGTCTCCTCCGAGATCCCTCAACAGTCCTCGTCTGAACCGAATAATTGGACAATTCATCAGACCGCAAGGCGATCACTGGACGATATGTGCATGAAGGATGGAGGTAGATGCTGCAATGAGTTACTCAGGCTTGGAAATGATTTTTAATCTTACGGATGTATTGGGTTTCAGACTTTTCCTTATAGATGTGATGTTGCTGTTTTACGAGAGTTTCAGCAGTGGTGATTGACTCACGGTTGCTGCCAAACACAGCACATCGTACATCCATTTTTATATAAGACATCAATAACAGCCTCTTAGTGTACACCAGAGAGCACTTTACACCGATAGAGTGTAGTACTTAACCCATCTTTTCCCACTGTTATTTCTGAATGTCTGCCCACTTATTGTTATTTATTTGGCCTGATTGGTTGTAGAAGTACACGGGTAAAAGAGGTGACTTTATGAACAATTTCACAGTCAAATCAAAGGAGATAAAAAAACAAACTTAAAGTGAATCTCTTGTCCATTTTAAACATTTAAAAGACATATCTAAGAGCAAAAACATATTTCTGCACCTCGTTGATTGAGTTTTCATTGGAAATGGAGCCTGACTTCTCAGGGCTAGGTCCTCCCTGATCACTATTGCAATGTCCACAAGGAACTTTTAGTGGTTGCTAAAGGGCACACTTACTAGACACGGTGCAAGTAGGGAGGTGGACCAGGGCATAGCCCAGAGGCCAGGGAAGTCAGACTCCAGTAACAAAGCAAAACTAAATCAGAGAGAGGCACTGAGGAGAGTTTTCTGTAATAGTAGTCACTGTGTGGTATCGGGCAGAGTTTGAGCAAAGTGAAGTTGTACTCTGTCTAAAAGCAAGCACCACACAATGCCTGCTACTACTTTTATTAAGTAGAAAAGCCTTTTTAGTGTATCTAAAATTAATTGCTGACTTCCATTCCAACCAATGCCACCCCCCTGTCCATTCCGTCACCCGCATGACCGCTATGGTAGCCTCACTGGAAAGTAAAATAGCAGCTAACAGGCCTTAGCTATAAAGTTAGAGAAAGGTTCGGCCAAGAATTAGGTTACACTAAGGCCTTGTTAGCACTGTTGTCAAAGGGAGAGGTATAAATAGGCATTTAATCTGTGTTTTTATGCCCCCTGCCGCCACCCTCCCTTCCCCGACCACTAAAGGGTGGAAAAGTCTGCTGCCCATGTGAACTTAGCCTAACAAGTTTTGTCCCTCCTACAACAAAGAAACAATAGCAACCACTCAGATCACTTAAAAAAATTAGAAAAAAGTGAGAAAGGTGCACAAGTATATATTGTATCACCCTGTATATTGCCCTGCTCATGTGCGCCTCTCCCCCCTATGGTGCAGAAACGCACTGGGAGCCTTTGGCTTCCCTAACCAATGTTAGGCTTCTGGTGTGTTGCTGTACCTTCAGGGATGACAGAGTTGCCTCTGGTAACCTGCTCTCAATGTATGCATTGCTATATAGGTCCCATAGCCCATAGTTTTGAGTTAGGGATCACCCTTTGCAGAGGTACCTTGATGCAGCAGTGTGGTTTTATATGTATTTGCAAATGTATGCCAAAAAAAATCTGTTTTTAACCCAGGATGTTGAAAAAATCTAGTTAGATTTTTAGGCTGACTAGCTCTAAGTGTGCTGTGGAACTTTTGCATTGTCTGTTCACCGCAATGTGTGGTACCGCAATGCACAGTACCTCAATACTGTGTGTTCTGCTGAAAAAACGTAGTGCATGCAACGCATGGTATTGCAGTACCATGGGCTCCCCCATCATGGTACTCTGGAACGCATGGCCGCTGGGAGGTGTGTTGGGATGGCATTTAAATGAAAGGCAACACAATGCACCTACCACATGCTAGGAGCGATGTGTAATAACATGTGCTAATCGATAAACGTGCATTTATGAGGAAGTATGTATGAGGCAGGGCAGTAGCTTCCATGAGACAAGTGAGGCACTTGCTTTAGGCTCAGCTGAGAGGGGGTGCAGCCAGGGCTGGCCTGGCTGTGTCCCCTTGCCTCTGTTGCCATGGCGAGCACAGGGTGCCATGGCAACAGTGGCACCAGGCGGCCAACACAGCTGCAACTCTGCAGGGAGAAGAGGGGTGCCACAGGGTCCAGCTTCTCCTCAGATTCCCGCTGCTCTCCCACGCCTCTATGGGCAGAGGCAGCGGGGATCCACTGAGAAATGGGGTGCTGAAACCGGTGTGGGGCGTTGGAGGGAGCTGTCATACAGGATGGTCGAGTGGTGAAGAAAGAGAGAGATCCGCTCGGCCAGGATCTAACCACCGGCGGCTCTCTCTCTCCTCACTGCTCGGCCATCCTGAAATGACAGTAATATTTATGACAAAGGTGACTGACATATATGTATGAGTAGTATGTATGAAGAGGATGAGTAATATGCATGTATGAGGAGGGTACGTGAGCAGTATACATGATGGTGATGAGGGAGAAGTATATAATGTATGAGGGAGATGAATATTTATGACAAAGGTGACTGACATATATGTATGAGGAGGATGAGTAATATGCATGTATGAGGAGGGTACGTGAGCAGTATAAATGAGGGTGATGGGTGAGAAGCGTGTATGAGGGGGATGGGCAAGTAGGTGAGTGAGAGATATGTATGAGGAGAATGGGTAATGTGTATGTACAAGGGGAAAAAATTAGAAGAATGAGTAAGTGTGTATGAGATGGATGAGTGATATGAACATACATGAGAATGATTAGTAAGTAGAATTAATGAGATAGGTGATCAAGGAGCATGAATAAGGAGGATAAGTAAGCAGTATAAATAAGGATGATGAGTGAGCAGTATGTATGAGAGATGAGCAATAGAAGTATGAGAAAGATGACTGAGAAGTAGACATGAGGAGGATGAGAGCTGCATATGTATGAGGAGGATAAATGAGAATGATTAGTAAGAAC